AAAGCCTCTGCCTTCAGCTCGGTCATGATCCCAGGGTCCTGGGATCGAGCCCACATCAGGCTCTCTGCTCGGCAGGGAGCCTGTTTCCCTTCCTCTCTCTCTGCCTGCCTCTCTGCCTACTTGTGATCTGTCAAATAAATAAATAAAATCTTTTAAAAAAAAATTAGGATTTACAGGAGATTTAAGACATAGTCTATCATGAGGCAGGAGCTCAAACCAGCTCTGATTAACTTACAGATAAAACATATCCCCAACTGGGACTTTAGGACAGTGGGGCTCCCTGAACTCCAAATTTTTTTAAGGTGACCTTTTTTGGGGGGTGGGTGTGTAAGATGTGGCAGGGAGAAGGACAGGGAGAGAATCTTAAGCAAGACTCCATGCCCAGCATAGAGCCCCATGTGGGGCTCCCTGAGATCATGACCTGAGCCAAAATCAAGTGTCAAAAGCTTACCTTACTGAGCCACCCAGCTTCCCCTGAACTCTGAATTTCTTAGATTTTGTGGATGTGGATCAGGCACCAAACACAACCTTCCCAGCATTTTAGGTTTATAATTTGCATTATCCGAAACTGGTCATAAACACCCAAGAGTTAACAGGTCAACAATGAATATAAAACAGATCGTCCTACTTGTGCTCATTTTGCACTTTTTAAAATTAATTCAGTGCATGAAACATGAGCAAATTAAGAGGGAATCAAGGCTCTTCACCATCTTTACCAATTTAAAAAAAAATAGTACAAGAAAGTACAATGAGTTTGCCAGTGTACCTCCCAAAACCCTTTGCTGTTCTTTCTAAACCAACAGCATCATTATCCTGTTCCAGACTCTGGGCAAAGCACTGTATTGGTATCATCTCATTTAATCCTCGCAATAATAACTACAAGCGAGATGATGCTACTACCTACGGCTCAAATAAGGAAAAGTCCAGAAAGAGGAGGAGAACATAATTTGTCCAAGGACAAAGAGCCAGTGCACGAGAGTGCTGGGATTGGATCTTGGAATTCAAGGTTCTTAATTAACCTGTACCACCCACAATACGCTTTCAGCCCAAATGGCAAATGATTCTGTCTTCATGGGGAAGATGATGCATGGCCCTTTCTGGATGGGACACAAAGAGTAGCAAAGATGTGTTTAGTACAGAGTGAGAACTTTCCAGAGAAAGCCCAGGGGCAGTGTTCTGTTCCTACAATAAAGGTGATGTGTTTGGTTTTATTTCTTCTCTTCCCCATTCACCCAGATGCAGTCCTCTTAGGGATCATGAAAATAGAGAAATTCACAGGGAAATAAATCCCCAAATGGACTCTACTTCCACCACGAATGAACTGCAAACACGCCTACCATCCACTGGCCACTGTCAGCGGAGAGGAGTCACCCCGAATCCCACAGACCTGCCCCGTGTACGTTACCTGGCAAACAGGTACATTCAGAACAAACAAGAGGCTTGGATGAAGGACAGCTGGGGGGCAGGGAGGGAAATCTTTAGTGAGGGAAGACCCATCCAAGAAATTGATATTTGAACTGAGCAAGAAGAAAGGAGGGAGTGAGCCTATGAACCATAGAATCGTTCTGGGTAGAGAACACCATGGCTCAGGGGTGACAGAGATTATATGGATTCTGAGCATGGCAGTGGTGTCTCAACTGAATGTCTGAAACCACATGCAGCAAAAGCCCAAAGCTTCCAAGAGTCTCCTGAACAGGCAACATCTTTGAGACACGATTTCCAGAGAGTCATCCGCCACTCGACAAACAGCCACCATCCAGTCGCTGCCACCACCCGCCGGTCCTCTGGACACATGGCCGATGGGGCCATCTGCGGACATAGCCACCATCTCTGACACAGTCACACAGCAGCTTCTGTGAGCGGATGACAGTGCGCTCAGAAGGCTGTTACCAAGAAGATGGGTGGGGGACAGGGGCCTCTGTGCAGACTCAGCACAGATGCGGGGCCCGGGACGAGGCAGGGCGAGATCGACATCACGGAGCATCAGCCTGCATGAGCGAAACCCTACGGAGTTTCAGATTATCATCAGCAATACCAACTTGAAAGCCGTTAGTGAATTCTGCTTGCGAGGCAGGCCCACTGTCTGAGTAAGTAAAAAAAAGGGAACACAAAAAGAACTGCACACCTCTCAGGGGAAATGGTCGAAAAGGGACCCAGAGATCTAAGTTCAGTTAGCAGGGCCGTCGAGCAGAACACATGGCCGCAGGGTCCTTGAAGATGGGCATCAAAGCCGCCTCCCAAGGCTCTACTTGAACTTGGAAGAGAATCCTGGGTTGGAAGCAACGGACTGTGAAATACAGCTTGTCTCCGCGTGAGACAGTGACCAATGAACCAGCCACGGGACAGTAAAAACTCCTCAGAGAGTGGGATTTCCAGCACATCACCTGGGCTGTGCAGCGTAATGGCGTTCTATCACCCCCCAGAAGCTGGCCTAAATTCTTCGTAAGCATCACCTCACTAGCGTTTCACAGGGAGCTAGCTTCTATCTGTATCCCCGGCTCCGCAGACGAGGAGACAGTGGTCCAGAGAGGTTAAGTAACTTGCCCAATGTCACTCAGCCAGTAAGTGGAAAAGGTAGAACCTGATTCTCAGCTGATGTAACTTCCAAGCAGACACTCTTAAGCACACAGCTGCCCCGTATCCACGGCAGGTATTCAGTAACGTCTGTGGATGTAGCAACTACCATGACCCGCGAGCATCTATCATAGGCTGGTGAAGGCCGACCCTGTACAATGAAGCATAGGGAATCTCATTCTACTCCTACGATGAGATGGAAATTGTCACAAGAGTAACATGAGGCTAATCTGAATTAGAAAAATTGGGCAGGGGTCTTGTGTTCCCCAATGCCCAAGCTTAAGTTTTCAGCGGAGATGCGGGGGTCGACAAGCCACAGAGATGCGGGGTGGATAGTGTTGTCCAGTCTCTGGGGGACAGTGCAAAGCCATCAGCAATGTCCCCTGCACATACTGGCGTGAAAAGAATTGGGTATATAAGGCTGCACTTCACGAGGACCTCAGGCTGGTACTCAAGCTTTGACAAAAGCTTGTATGCAAAGGACAGAAAATTCATTAGAAACTTCTCGAGCATAAATTTTGGTTGTTAACTCTCTTGGAAAAGAAATGTATTCCTCAGATTTGCCATGGCGCTTTCAGTAGGAATACCATGGTCCTAAAATATTTACTGAGCTATGTATCCCCACTGAAAAATCAAACAAACCGAAATTCAAACATGTGAAATTCAAATTAGAGATTATACACACAAGTCAATGGAAGACAGAAGACATTCACTGAAAACGTGTAAGAAAAATTCATATCATAATTTTGTATAAGTAATTACAACTGCAGCTCTGGAACCATTTACTTTTTCTTCCTTACTACTAGAATGTGGAATTTATCTGGACATCAAATTTCTCAAGTCTGAGGATACACTTCCAAGATGCTCTTATGTTAGGGATTACTAAAAGGATATAAGTAGGTAGAAGTCATTAAGACCACAGGGAAAATTCTTTAAAGAGGTCTGCCTCAGCTGGGAGGACTACTCTTTTTGTTCCTTGCACTCCTGCCTCTTTCTTCAGGATGAAGAGGCAATGGCTGGAGAGCCAGCAGCCATAATGTGACCTTGAAAACAGAACAGCATTTGAACAGACGGGCAGAGCAGAAAGACAGAAAGCACAAACTGCTCTCCCCCAAACACCTTTGAGCAGAGAGAATATGCAACTCATTTTTTAAAAACTTGTACAGTTGCATCTGTTACTAGAAAACAATTCTTAAATTATATCATGATATGAAAACATGTCTGAAGACTACCTTATTTTTTTCTGAAAGAAAAAAAAATCAGGAAACTCATGAATTGGGATTCTCATTACTCCTCTATTCACCATGCTGTTTGTTTAAGTATGACTTCCCTTCTTAATTACTACCACCAGCCCAGGAAGCATATTTGCTGAACCTGTCTCTATGTTTTGACATGCAACACTTGTGAAATTCAAACATACTTGTAGACATCCAAAGCATTATTATTTATTAAGGACTATATTAAAGGTGGAAGATCTTAAAACACCTTCAGAATCTGATGATTAAAGGAAATTTAATCGTTCTTCATTGGCATTTGATCTTTAGCCTGCCATAATCTACCCATATATCCCTTCATCCATATTTGATACTAAGGAGACATTTCAACAGCTTGTCCATCAACTGCAAAGTGGAAGGAACCTACAGAAAAACCACATTACTTAGAAAATAAAAGAGCTTCCCCCCACACTCATTTAGCTCATGAAAGCCCAATATGATTAAAAGGGTGAAGAAGGCAGACTACACAAGGTGAACCAGAATAAGTGTAGAGAGCCATCTATTACATTTGTAAGGAGTTTCAAAATTTTCAAAGTGCTTTCGTATACATTATATCCTGTTTCATCCTTAAAACTACACCCTGCGTGGTAGTCAGGGCAGGGATTTTTTTTTTTATGCTCGTTTCTTCTTGATAAATGGTTTGCTCGAGATCAGAGAGACTGCTCCCCAGTGAGATACCTTCTTTATCCTCTTTACCCTCTTTGATGCTTAGCTTAAGGGTCAGCCAACTGTGGCCTCCGGGCCAAATATGGCCCACTGACTGTTTTTTGTAGTTTCACTGGACCAGTCACACCCATTTGTTTACATATTGTCGCTGGCTGATTTTATGCTATATCAGCAGAGTTGACCACAAAGTCGCATTCGCAACTCTATGGCCCAGGAACCTGACAATACGTACCATCTGGCTGTTTCAAAGGCAAAATCTGCAGACCCTGCGTTAGATCGTGATCTCAGCTATAGATCCTATTCTTGAAAGCCATGAAGCTAGTGTAGAGGACGATACACCTGTTCCCGCTGGCTTTGGAAGTCCTGCTCGGTAATGAGGCATTCCACTACCTTCTGAGGAATTACTGAATCGGCTGCGGGGTCACCTGCAAAGGTGGGTCGCGGTTTTCAAGTGGGACACAGTACTCGTGTTTGTTTGCCACTTACCCTGAACTTTTATCGTGTCTCACAGCCATAAAAAGTCTGGGGGTCACTGGTTGGAGGCACACATGATGCCACAGGACTGCAACACACGGAGGGACACTGAAAGCAGAGAGAAGAGAAGAGGTTAATGGGAGGGGCCAATGGCGAAGCTTCAGAAGCAAGGCATTCACACGAGTCCCAGGTCTTCCCTTGTGGACCCATGACTTTGACATTCAATATGCCACCACATAGCCAAGCATCTCTTTTGCCTCTTCCCTCATAGAGTCAGCATTTCATTAATTCACACCCTGCATTAGACAACACTGTATGAAAAGGAAGGGCAAGATGATTCCTGAGTCCCAGCAAGGATTTCGCTTTGGGCTGTAGTCTTTTAGTCTCTCCCAGTACATCCAGTAGAAATGACAAGAGGGAACACACGTATGTGCACATGCATATAAGCACCCTTTTAAAAAAAAAAAAAAAAAAGAAGAAGAAGGACAAGTGATCTCTCCTGCTAGCCAAACCCCAAAATCTCCCTTGCCACAGTCCCAAGCTCTCTTTCCAGCTGCATTTCAAATACAGGAGGAGGCTGGGTCGCAGCCGTCTTACGGAAGCAGGCAGCCCGCAGATGGGCACACGGGTGCGGGCTGCGAACTTTCGCGGCGCGGTTGGGTTATTAGTAGAATACCAACCAAGTCCAATTCCACGTAAGATGAAATTGCTGACAGGTAAGTCAACTCCTCCTCGAGCAGTTTCAGAAAGATTTTGTGACTAGCAGTCAGTAGCAAGGTTTTGCAGGCCAGGCCCTTTCTGCCTAGATCCTGGGGGTGATAATGTCACCCATGCACGCCCGCCGAGGACAGGAGGGACTCTGTGACACGGGGAAATGGAACTCCAGAATGAGTAGGAAGCCTGAGCCCGCCGGGGCGCACGTGTGCCGGTCTCCCTCAACAGTGAACGAGGGCAAAAATCCACGAACGACGCGTCTTCTGAATCTAATCAGAGAAGTTGAAACTGAAAAGGAGATGTATGAAGTTTTATGATTTGAATAGTCACTTCGTATCTCCGGAAACTATGTGGGTTGTCTGTCTCCCAGAGCTCAGAAGAGAGTTGAGGGGTGGCGCTCCCAGGGAGTGCCTCTTCTTGATAAGAGAGGAACTCAGGCCAGATTGGTCCACATTATGTTTTCTAGGTATGAGTCGTCTGCGCGAAGTGTAAACCGTTTGCCAAACATACTAAGGCTCAAGAACCTTCCTTCTACAAGTTGAACATGCTGCGCTAATATCATCCCTCCGCAACAAGGCAGCTTACGAGGAGGCTAAGAATGAATCAAAAATATTTTTAAAAGATAATTTCAGTTGGCAAAGGCTGTAATCGTTCAAACTTAATTGGTGAACTCATTAATGAGCAACTGCCACCACAAGAAAGAGGGCCATTGTCACCAACTTATCACAGCAATGAGATAACGAAGTTAATTATATTGTTTTCAATGGGTTTACACTTGCTTCCTTTGAAAGTCTACATTTTCCAAACATTTGTTCTGACACTCCATGTGTTTGCTCCTCTAAAAAAAAAAAAAAAAAAAAAAAAAAAAAAAATCAGCCGTGGGCTCCTCAAGGAAAAGTCGGCAGATCACAGCCCTAAGATCAGGGCAGAGCAATTGGAAAACTTTTCTCCCCTTTATTATCTACTTGTAAAATGTTATAAGCCTGTAAACTAGTTAATTTATGAACCGTGTTAATAATTTGCTCACACTTGATCGCAGGTTTCGCAAACACCGGTTCCAGGGATGCGGGAGGGTAATTTGTAGGTCCGGTTTCTCTCCTAAGGGGACACTAACTAATTTGACACAGTAACATGACATTGATGGTGGGGCACACTAATGACCATACTCCAAGACGTGGCTGTCAGCCTGTCGTTCCAGTGAGAAGCAGCTTGCTTTCGCTGCTGCTCAGTACACGATGCTCAACTAATTATTCAGACAGCGACATTAATGAGAACCCTCATGTTTATTTTCAACATACTAACCAGCGCTTAGCTTCCATTTGTCTGATATGGTCACCGATAAAGTGTGTCTCATGAATAGTAAATTTGAACTCTAATAAAACAAAGGAGCACTGGGGAAAAAATAAGGAACAGCTGATTAGAAAACTATCCGTGTCTACTCAACTTGCTTTCTGCCTCAAATATCGTCAAGGACAAAGTGACAGGTAACAGGAAATGCCAGAAGTAGCAAGAAAACTAAAAGAAATATTTTTAATCATATATGTCCATGTACGATCTTGACTTGTGACCCAAGGCCACTGGATCACAGTATGGACAAGAGAAACTACTATCTCAAGGAAATTTCACTAAGTTTAGAATACTGGACAGATTTATTTTTTAAGTCATTTCTCCATGGAATGGCCAAAAAGTTCCTTTGCTTTAATGTGCTTTTTTCAACATAAAAGTTGATCCTTGTGAAACTACCTCAAATGCGATCTTCACAAACATCACTAAATGTAACCTACGGTTTTTTTCCTAAATCTATTGTAAAACCCTACTACCGAGGGTTTTTTCCAAAAGTGTTCTTCAATATCCTCTTATACATCATATTTCTAGTCTACTAAACCTTGCAATCAAGTTCTTTCTACTTTAAATTAAATTTCTATTTTGGTATGATAAATTCTGTCCTTCATTTTATGGTGATTATAATCCTAAAATATTCATATAATCATAATTTAAAATGAGTAATTTTTTAAAAAGGTACGCTTACATCTACTAGAGGTACTGAAAAATTGAAAAAACTCTTGATGTGGTTCATTGTAAAATTAACACTTTGAATTAAGTAACAGTGGTAGTATTTCAACAAAAGTTCTCTCCGGCATCATAAGCAATTCAACTCAATACTGAGTATGACTTTTAATTTTACAGAATAGCAAAGGAAGTAGGAGTCCACTGTAGATCACTTTGGGAATGAAAAAGTCATCACATGTAACATTTCTTAAGTATGCCTTTCTAAACTTAGAATAAATTTGCAATTTTAGAATGCCAAAATTACATAAATGGCATGTAACATGTAGGAAGTAGATCAGATCCCAGGCTAATTTTTTAAAGTATTTTTGACAAGTTTACAGATTAATTCTCTCAAATGAGCATGACTCTTTCCAAATGATGCTCTTTCCATGGGCACCCATTACAGGTTCTCAGATTATTGGTATTTGTACAGTTTATTTACAGTAAGCATTCATCTTCCATAATAAGCTAAAAAGATAGGGTTGGTGTGTGGCAGAGACCATCCAGATGCCCATCAAATTCCTTTCTCCTTTCTAGATGCAGAGATGGGATAGTACTTCCCAGCTTCCCTCGCCATTAGGTGGGGCCTTGTGCCCGAGTTCTGGTGAAATAGATCAAAAGTGGGAATGATCCTTTCATTCTGACCCTGAAGCTTCCTGAACACCATGAATGTCCTCTCTCTTCCCTTGACTGTGCACATAGAGGTCCAGCGGAGAGCTCCCTGCTCCTGCAAATGGTGGACTCGGGGAATTTGGAATATGCCAAGGTCCGCAAAACACAATGAGTAAGAGAGCCACCAGCCCTGGTCCTCACCAGCAAGCACAAGGTTGAGCTTCCTAAGAAATAAAACTGTACCTGGTTAAGGCTCTGACATTCAGGAGTGTTTGCTGTAACCTCCAGTATCTCTTAATCGAATAAAGAGATCTTTCTAATTTCTCCCTAATTAGATCTTTCTAATTTCTCCCAAAGCTATCCTTTTTTTTTTTTAAAGATTTTATTTATTTATTTGACAGACAGAGATCACAAGTAGGCAGAGATGCAGGCAGAGAGAGAGAGGAGGAAGCAGGCTCCCCGCCAAGGAGAGAACCCGATGTGGGTCTCAATCCCAGGACCCTGGGATCATGACCTGAGCTGAAGGCAGAGGCTTTAACCCTCTGAGCCACCCAGGTGCCCTCCCAAAGCTATCCTTGAATCTCCAGGCCACCAGACCTAAACAGAGGCACTGTAAATTTGGGAAAATCCTACCTGTGATTATTTGCTTCTCTAATTAAGCTAAGGATAGAAAATGCATCAGGTGTAGCTTTCATTACTTAAGACCTTTACAGCCCTGAGGGGAGGTCTGATTCCCATTTTATGGATGAAAATACTAAGCCTGCAAGAAATGCAGTATAAGCAAGTAGTGTGAATGTATACTCAGTTGACATTTCCCTAATTGAACGCCTCTTACCTTTTAATATCTAAATCTTACAGAAAATTCTTATTTCTAAAGCAAACATTTGCGGCTCTAGCTTATAAAAGAAAAAATTCCAGGACACTCTCCAAAATTAAATAGAACACTTTTAATAAAATATGTGAGGGGAAAGTGTCAAGTTACAATACAATTGGCAAAATGTCAGAAACTTCTATAGAGGTTTTGAAAAGCCAGCAACAAAGGGGATGTGTCTCAGATATTCTCGGTGATTAAAAAAAAAAATACATACTGCTATGCTGAGATCATATTAATTGTTTAGTAATCAACATTTTACGTATTTTTACATTCTTACTGTGATAGTAGTTAACTATACCTGTAAGGCACTTTGCTATATTTTCATCATATTTTAGAATAAGGATAGACCAACTTTTTCGGTAAAGGGCCAGACAATGAATATTTTAAACCGTGTTGCTGTAAGTTGTCTATTACAACTACTCAACCATGCCCTTGTAGGAAGAAAGTAACCACCGGCAATAAGTAAACTAATGGGTATCTTGTCCAGATAAAACTTTATTTACAAAAGCAGGTAGGGGGCCTGAGGACCACATCTTGTCAACTTCTGTTCTAAAAAGCTGACTGGGTTGCAGGATTGCATGTTGACACATAACATTATGATTGCTCCTACGTAAAATAACAGGGAAAAAATGAGAAAGTTAGCACTTTCACCCAGGATATCTAATGGCCACCCAGGATTACTGATGTTCAGGAGAGAGAATATCCTCCCTTTGCCCAAGGTTCAAGAGATAGATAGATAGATAGATAGATAGATAGATGGATGGATGGCAGGCAGCACTCCGTTTCCATATGAATTCTAACTCCACTGTCCCATTCTTTCCCTAAGTCATGTATTGCCTGACTCATGGGCTCGTTGCCC